CCTACGTTACATGTGCTCAGAACACTTACATTAGCCCATAGTTGTGCAAAATCCTCCAACACAAAGCCTACTTTGTGATAAAGTGCTGACTGTCTCAAGCACCTTACTGAGTACTGTACTGAAAGTGAAAGCGGAAGGGTAGTCTGGGTATGGAATGCTTGTACATTTATTGGTTGCTGACCTTTGTGATCGCTGGCTGACTGGGAGCCGCGGCCACTCCCCAGCATCACAAAAGGACAGGACTGCACGTCCCTAGCCCAGAAAAAGATCCAGATTAAAAATTCGAAGTATGGGGTACCTGCGTGGCCCACTCGGTTAAGCATCTGCCTTCGGCTCAGGTCATGATCCCGGAGTCCCGTGTCCGGCTCCCTGCTCAGCGGGGAGTGTGCTTCTCCCTCTCCCTCCGCTCCTCCCCCTCTCAAATAAATAAAATCTTCAAAAAAAATTCAAAGTTGGTTTCCACTGAATGTGTACTATTATCACACCACTGTAAAGTCAGAAAATCCTTTAAGCTGACCATTGTAAGTCAGGAATTGGCTAGACCTCCATCCTCCTCCAGTAGAGTCAGCTCTGTTCTGAAAAAGCCTCCAGGGTCAGTGCTCCTGTCCTATGCATCCCTAATCCTTGCTTCTGCGATCACACGGCTCTTTCTCTAGACATGCTCCCTTCTCAGGGAGCCTGCCTGGGGCCAACACCTGCCCACCAGCGCTCCAGGCTGGAACAAGGGGCTGCCCAACGCTGAGCCTCCTCTCCACCATCTCCGTGGCCTGGCATCTCCCTCACAAAACCCGAACACACCCCATAACCCCCCAACCCTGGCTCGTCTGAAACTTCCCTGCGCCCTTAATATATGGGTTGGAAGAATTAACTTGACTCCTTCCTGAGATTCACCGTCTGAAACTTCAATGTCTCCTTTGGTAAAAATCCAGAGTTCTCTTGAAGCAATATACAGCCAGACTCAGTTACTTCAGGGAGCATTACAATTCCCTCCAAAGCAGCGATATTCCTTCTCTACAGAGTAGCCCAGACAACGCAGAGGCCTCTAACAGAACCCCTATCACACCAGCACTGCTGGCCTTCATCAGTTTTACAATTCATGACCACGTGACCCCCCCCCCCCCCCCCCCCGCACTCCACGGTACCGCACTCTCAGCCCCGACCCCAGGGGGTGGCAATCACTTTCCCCCTTCCCAATGCCGCCACCACATTCTGAGTGCAGACAACAGTTAATTTCCCACAACAGTGAATCGCTAATGCCTCTGCTTCTGAAACAATGGTTACACTCTGAAAATAACAAGAGGAGGAAATCTGTGCTGAAGGAAAATTAATGAAGCTCTGCTAGGACACTGCCAAATTAAGTGACAGACACCACTGTTACCCCGTTACAGCCCAAACAACTTGCCAGCCCCGGAAAAACAAATAAACTAAAACAAATTCCGCAAAATGCTTTTCAGAGCTGAAGAACATTCCTGGTATGGTGTCAATACCATATCAAGTGGAGTTTCTTTTACTCAGAAGAAGGTACTCAAAAGGAGAGTTATGTATTGAACGCTGGGTGTGCATACTTTGTAATACACTCTCCTGCACACAGGAGAATAATTCTATCAATCAACAGGACACATTAACTTGTTCATTGCTGCTAAAAGACCGCCGTACACATTACACCAAATGGTAATCCCACTTAGTATGAGCACAGGCTGTAACATTCAATCAGAGGAAAAACTAACGTGGAAGTAAATCATGGCAGGCACTGTAAGCACAGGCGAGGACAGGTCACTCAAGGGTGCCCTAAATCATGTCATCCTTTGTGTGACAACGCAACACCGAGGGGAGGGGGCAAATCAAACTGAGTTCATCTGGTTAAATTCACGCTGTGTCTGGCTTGCAGTGGGGAGGATTACTACCTCTGAGACGCAGAAGTGCACCCACAAGCAGGATCCAATGATGGATGCTCTTCTCCCTGGATGGGGCTCAGAATCAGGTGGGCACTGTGGGGGCAGAAGGACTGAGGAGATGGGGAGGTTGGGGAGCAGGTGGAGGACTATCACGGGCACGTATAAGAATCTTACGCTAGGGTTGGAGAAAGTGAAAAAAAAACAGGCTTTAGACTGTGGGGGTGGAGAAATGTCTTCTGCTCTCCCTCACGGGTGCCACTCCCACTGCAGCAAATGGCAGAAGTATGAACCCTTTCTTGTGGGAGTCCATTCGGTGCATTCATGAGTGTCCTCCACATGGAGTCTACAGTCAGAACTGGGAGAAATGGTCTCCAGTAGTTCTGGTGTCAAAGCTCAGAGGCAAAGCAGATAATTTACTTACCAACATACCGTTTTTACTAAGTTTTGGTAGTACTGAAATTATGCGATCTATAGTTTCATTTCACAAATGTTTACTGCCATGTGCAAAAAAAGGGGAAAGAGGAATAATAATAGCAGCTACTATTTGGAGAGCACTTGCGAGGCGCCAGCCCCTGTGCCAAGCCCTGCAGTTTTGTACTGATGCCCTAACAAACTTAGAGGCTAAAAAAAAAATGCCCACTTATAATCTACCGGGTCTGCGGGTCAGAAGCCAGGCGCGGTGTGGCTCAGCTGGTTCTCTCTCTGCCCTCACAGGCTGAAATCAGGTGTCAGCAGGGCTGCATTCCTGCCATCAGTGGGTGAGTCAAGCTGTTGGCAAAATTCAGTCGCATGAGGCTGCAGCACTGAGGTCCCCATCTCCCTGCTGGCTGTGGGCTGGGAGCTCTCAGGCTGGCCGCAGGCTCTGGTTCAAGGCCGCCTTCTGAGCCAGCAGCCGTGGGTCAAGTCCCCCTGACCTCCCCAGTGCCTGTCTCTCGGAAGCATCCCTTCTACTAGATCTCTCCAACTAGCTCCTCCACCTACTGCTGCCGCTGCTTTTCAAACTCACGTGATTATGGGGCCCACCCACATAACCCCAGGGAATCTCGGTGTCTTACTGATACCAGCTGATTCACGACTGCAGCATGCAGACTCTCACACTTTGCAGTTCTGCCTGTGAGTGCCCGCCCTATCACGCGCATTACCTCAATTAACCCTCACAGCAAACCCACGATCAGGTCCAGGGGGAACGTGAGCCTATTTATCTATTACCTGGATCATCTAGTTCACTTCACAAACTACAGCCTAACCCCAAAATAAATCCCCGATAGATTAAATAATTACATGTTTTAAAAAAACAACAGCAAAAAAGTCACACAAACAAAAAACACCATGGCTGAATATTGCTCTATTCTTGGACACTTAGAACATAAAAGAAATAGAACAACAAAGGGGGAAAATAAACAGATGAGACTGTAATTATAAAATTTCAATGGAATTAAAAGGCAAAAGCCAGATTCAGGGGGACGGGCAAATGTTAAATATATACCAAATGATTAATATCCCTATTATGAAGAACTCCTACGAAAAGCAAATTTTTTAAAAAAGGTAAAAGAACTATTTAATTTTTTTGTGTGAATTTTAATATGTTAGAAAACATCTAGCTTTTTTAGTCAAAGAACCATGTGTTTTCTATCGAATTAGCAAACTATTTTGTTAGTAGTTTTTGAAGATAATGCTCAGTGCTACTCCTGTGTTCGTGAAACAGACAACACCAAACAAGGAGGACATAGCAGCATTTGGCAAAATTCGCGTTTGAACTCTTTATTAAGGAAATAAAATTCAGAGGAAGATAGTTATAATAAAACACTGGAGAACATTTAAGGATAGGAGCAAATAAAGCACGGTATACCCATATGATAAATCCTGCTCAGCAACTATACCGGCTTTCCAAGATACTTTGTATTGACATGGGAAAATGTCCATGACTGGATAACGTGCAAAAGCAGAACACTACCCTATCCATGCAGGAGGAGGGTAGGTGATAATCGAGCTTTGGAGCCTGAAACCTGAGGCTGAGTTCTGGCCAGACTGCTTAACAGCCCGATGGCTTGGGGCAGACCACAACCCAGTTCCAGTTTTCCATAAATATTCAAGGGGGGATGATACCATTTACCTCTCAGGGCTCTGGTCAGATTTAAATGAGAATGAACGTGAAGTCTGGTGATCCTAAGATGCCTGCTAAGCAAGCACCTGTTAGAGGTTCTCATCGGCACCCCTCAGACAAACCCTCCCTCCTAGGCTCCTGTGGCTGTTGTAGGTGAGGTGCCACACACTAGGTGAACTAAAACACCAGAAATCTCTTTTCCCACAATTCTAGAAAACAAGGTGTTGGCAAGTCCACGCTTCCCCCAAAGGCTCTAGGGGAGAATCGCTCCTTGCCTTGTAGGTGGTGCTGGGGCTGGGGCTGCATGGCCTCAATCTCTGCTCCGTTGGTGTTCGTGAGACCTGCTCTTCTCCCCATGCATCTGTGTCTTCTCCATTCTGTCTCTTATAAAGACACTCGCCATTGGAAATACGGCTCACCTGGGGAATCCAGGCTGATCTCATCTTGAGATCCTTAACCTCATTACATCAGCAAAGACCTTTCCCCCACGTAAAATCACATTCACAGATTCCGGGGATTAAGACATGGATGTATCTTTTTGGGGACCACCGTCCAACCCACTACAGCCCCCAATCCCTGACTCCTTGAGAGTGGCAAAGTTACTGAGGCTTTAAACTCTCAGATGTGGAATTTCACTATTAAGTAGCATTCCACACCAGCCAGCACCCAGCAGGAAGCTCGAAGTACTTTTGCACAAGTGGGGCAGGCAAAGGATGTGTTACGCAGTGGGGAAGGTCGTGCACTACACAAGCCCTTCTGGAACAGACCATGACGATCAAAGCCAGGAGGGCTCGGGGCAGTGCAGCCAAATGCCCACAGTGCCGTCACCGTTCTTTATCACAGAAACTAGGATAGTGCCTTGTACCCAGTGAGACCATTTCAGAAACAAGGCACAGCTCCCACTCACTGTGGTCGGGGCAGAAGGCTCTGGCTGGGAGCTGGCTGCTCTGGGGAGCCCACCCACCAGGCTCGATGTGCTGTCAGTGTGCACTCTCACTCACCTTCAATGTAGAGCGGCTCCACCACGTCGTGGTTAATCAGCTCGAAGTTCTCATGGCCGATCCAGTGCTCCACATTCCTCTTCCTCCCCGTGAAGAAGTTGTCCACCACAGTCACCTCGTGGCCGTCCATCATGAGCTTGTCGGTGAGGTGGGAGCCCACGAACCCTGCTCCTCCGGTTATCTGCATGCGCCCCACATCCCCAGAGAAAGCACAAGAGGACACGGTGACAACCAACTTCAAGGGGATTTGGCTTTGGTGCAGCCACAACTTAAAACTTGGAAGGAGAGCAAGGAAGGAAGACGCTAACAGTTTACAGACAGCGTCTTAGCTCTTCCTCCAGAACAAACTGTCACATACTACTGCCGACTTCTAAGCAGCACCCAGTCAATAGTACAGAAAAATAGTTTCAAGTTTCCAAATGTCTCCTCTAACAGACAATTTTACATTAAAAAGTTCTTATTTTATAATGGAAAGAACACTGAACATCACTTATATAATTCTACCACTATTCCTGCAAAGTTTCAGAATGACTCTCTTTTAAAAAGTGATTAGCAACATGCAGAGATTCGTTGAACTACCAAATAATATATGTGGTTTTTAAAACTGGACACAAAAATGTCATAAAAAAGGATTATCTTTCCAACTGCTTATGAAAACAAATGAATAAGCAATAGATACTGTTTGCAGACCAGAGCCCTAAGTGATTAGGTTCTACCGTCCGGTCCCTGTCTAAGCAGGAACGTGACCACTGCGTGGGGTCCGCTGACGGGCCCCAAGGGGGACAGGATGCAGCTGTGGGGGACAGGGGGACAGCAATACTGTGCTTCCAAAGCCTGAGCCACAACAAACATGAAGAGGCAATCATGAGTGAAAGTCACTGTTAAACTAACAGAAAGACTTTATTCAAATTAAATGATGACTATGGAGGGGGCCAGATAAAGCGTACTGAGTGTTGGGGAGGAAGGAGTGAAAAGAACACTCAGAAAGTGGACTAGCAATGGGCAAACACCTTCTCTGTCCTGTTCTGTTCTCCGCTCTGCCTTCTCTGCAGTCAAAACTTGCACTCACCTCACCCTCCTGTTCCGAACTGAAAGAATTAACACTAGGAAAAAAAACACCAATTCTTTTACCAAAACAAAACAAAACACATAAACCCTTAGGCATATGGTTTTAAAACATTTTGTTTGCCACGAAGTGCGATAAAATCTGACACATAATTCAGATGTTTACCACGGGTGAGAACAAAGCAGCCCGGGGTGAAGGTCGTCGATTTGGGGAGCGGGGAGGGGTCATGCCAGCCACAGAAGAACCACATCAACACCACCCAGACATTTACATATGCTCTGATGAAAATACACACACAGCTCAGCCATGAACAACACGCTGTGATCTGCACAGCTCCACTCTCATGCAGATTTTTGTCCGATAAACACGGGACAGGACTGTGACTGTATTTTCTCTTCCTTACGATGTTCTTAATAACATTTTCTTTCCCCCAGTTTATTCTCTTGTAAGAACAAAATATGTAATACACGAAACACACAGAGTATCTGTGAATCGACTGTTCGTGTTATGGTAAGGCTGCCAGTCAACAGCAAGCAAAAGGAGGCAACAGTCACACACGGATTCTCGGCAGCACGTCGGGGGTGGAGGGTGGGGGGGGTCAATGCCTCTCAACCCTGAGTTGTTCAAGGGTCAGCTGTATCATGGGTGAGAAAGTGGATGGCTGAAAAGTCCTGACGCTCCACAGCTTTCGATCAGCTGCATTCATTCTTTACGGAGAGCACCATTTCCTAAGTCATCTCTGCTTCGCAGATAGGGAACAGACACCCATAGACCTCATAGATATATACAGAACATTCCAGAATATGCATTCTTCTTGAGCGCACATGGAACTTTCTCCAGAATAGACCACATACTGGATCACAAATCAGGTCTCAACTGATACCAAAAGATTGAGATTATTCCCTGCATATTCTCAGACCCTTTAAAACTGGAACTCAATCACAAGAAAAAATTTGGCAGAAATTCAAACACTTGGAAGCTAAAGACCACTCTGCTCAAGAATGTTTGGGTCAACCAGGAACTCAAAGAAGAACTTAAACAATTCACGGAAACCAATGAGAACGAAAACACATTGGTCCAAAACCTATGGGATACTGCAAAGGCAATCCTAAGGGGGAAATACATAGCCATCCAAGCCTCACTCAAAAAAACAGAAAAGTCCCGAATTCACCAACTAACTTTACACCTTAAAGAACTAGAGAAAAAGCAAAAACGATGGCTGAGCCACACATTAGAAGAGAAATAATTAAGATTAGAGCAGAGATCAATGAATTAGAAACCAGAAACACAGTAGATCAGATCAATGAAACTAGAAGCTGGTTCTTTGAAAGAATTAATAAGATCGATAAACCACTGGCCAGACTTACCCAAAAGAAAAGAGAAAGGACCCAAATTAATAAAATTATGAATGAAAGGGGAGAGATCACGACTAACCCCAGGAAATAGAAACAATTATTAGAAATTATTATCAACAACTATATGCCAATAAATTGAGCAACCTGGATGAAATGGATGCCGCCTTCCTGGAAACCTATGAACTCCCAAGACTGAAACAGGAAGAAATTGACAAGCTGAATAGGCCAATAACCAGTAATGAGATTGAAGCAGTGATCAAAAACCTCCCAAAAAAACAAGAGTCCAGGGCCTGAGGGATTCGCTGGGGAATTCTACCAAACATTCAAAGAAGAAATAATACCTATTCTACTGAAGCTGTTTCAAAAAATAGAAACAGAAGGAAACCTTCCAGATTCATTCTATGAGGCCAGCATTACTTTAATCCCCAAACCAGGCAAAGACCCCATCAAAAAGGAGAATTTCAGACCGATATCCCTGATGAATATGGATTCCAAAATGCTCAACAAAATCCTAGCTAATAGGCTCCAACAATACATTAAAAGGATCATCCACCACGACCAAGTGGGATTTATCCCCGGGATACAAGGGTGGTTAAACATTCGCAAATCAATCAATGTGATAGAACACATTAATAAGAGGAGAGAGAAGAACCCTATGGTCCTCTCAATTGATGCAGAAAAAGCATTTGACAAAATACAACATCCTTTCCTGATTAAAACTCTTCAGAGTATAGGGATAGAGAGAACATTCCTCAAGTTCACAAAATCCATCTATGAAAAACCCACAGTGAGTATCATCCTCAATGGGGAAAAGCTGAGAGCCTTTCCCTTAAGATCAGGAACACGTCAAGGATGCCCACTCTCGCCACTATTGTTCAACATAGTACTAGAAGTCCTAGCAACAGCAATCAGACAACAAAAAGAAATAAAAGGTATTCAAATTGGCAAATAAGAAGTCAAACTCTCTCTCTTCGTAGATGACATGATACTTTATGTGGAAAACCCAAAGGACTCCACCCCCCAAATTCCTAGAACTCATACAGCAATTCAGTAATGGGGCAGGATACAAAATCAATGCACAGAAATCAGGTGCTTTCTTATACACTAACAATGCAACTGTAGAAAGAGAAATTAGAGAAACGATTCCATTCACAAGAGCACCGAAAACCATAAGATACCTTAGAATAAATCTAACCAAAGAGGTAAAGGATCTATACTCTAGGAACTACAGAACACTCATGAAAGAAATTGAAGAAAACACAAAAAGATGGAAAAACATTCCATGCTCATGGATCGGAAGAATAAACAATGTTAAAATGTCTATGCTACCCAGAGCAATCTATAACCTTCAATGCCATCCCGATCAAAATTCCAATGACATTTTTCAAAGTGCTGGAACAAACAATCCTAAAATTTGTATGGAATCAGAAAAGAACGCAAATCGCCAAGGAGATGTTGAAAAAGAAAAACAAAGCTGGGGGCATCACGTTGCCCGATTTCAAGCTATATTACAAAGCAGTAATCACCAAGACAGCATGGTACTGGCACAAAAACAGACATACCCGACCAATGGAACAGAATAGAGAGCCCAGATACGGATCCTCAACTCTATGGTCAAATCATCTTCGACAAGGCAGGAAAAAATATGTAATGGAGAAAAGACAGTCTCTTCAATAAATGGTGGGAATATTGGACAGCTATATACGAAGAATGAAACTCGACCATTCTCTAACACCATACACAAAGATAAACTCAAAATGGATGAAAGACCTCAATGTGAGACAGGAATCCATCAAAATTCTAGAGAAGAACATAAGCAGTAGCCTCTTTGACATCGGCCACAGCAACTTCTTTCAAGATTCATCTCCAAAAGCTAGTGAAACAAAAGCAAAAATGAACTTTTGGGACTTCATCAAGATAAAAAGCTTCTGCACAGCAAAGGAAATAGTCAAGAAAACAAAGAGGCAACTCACAGAATGGGAGAAGATATTTGCAAATGACACTACAGATAAAGGGCTGATATCCAAGATCTATAAAGAACTTCTCAAACTCCACACCCAAAAACCAAATAATCCTCAAGTCAAAAAATGGGCAGAAGACATGAACAGACACTTCTCCGAAGAAGACATACAAATGGCTAACAGACAAATGAAAAACCGTTCATCATCATTAGCCATCAGGGAAATTCAAATCAAAACCACACTGAGATACCACCTTATACCAGTTAGAATGGCAAAAATTGACAAGGCAAGAAACAACAAATGTTGGAGAGGTTGTGGAGAAAGGGGAACCCTCTTACACTGTTGGTGGGAATGCAAGTTGGTACAGCCACTTTGGAACATAGTGTGGAGGTGCCTTAAAAAATTAAAAAGACAGCTACCCTATGACCCAGCAAATGCACTACTGGGTATTTACCCTGAAGACACAGATGTAGTGAAAAGAAGGGCCATATGCACCCCAATGTTCATAGCAGCAATGTCTGCAATAGCCAAACTGTGGAAGAAGCCGAGATGCCCTTCAACAGATGAATAAAGAAGATGTGGTCCATATATACAATGGAGTATTACTCAGCATCAGAAAGGATGAATACCCAACTTTTACATCAACATGGATGGGACTGGAGGAGATTATATTAAGTGAAGTCAAGCAGAGAAAGTCAATTATCATATGGTTTCACTTATTTGTGGAACATAAGGAATAGCATGGAGGACATTAGGAGAAAGAAGGGAAAAATGAAGGTGGGGAAATCAGAGGGAGAGA